AAGCCGAAGTGATGTTTTCAGTTGAAATATCATCATAAATACTAGGATCTGTTTGACCAGACCAAGAGTCTGTCAGTAGTAAACAATCTTCGGAAATACATGAATTTAAAACATTTTCAGCCCAATATTGAATGTGTGTTTTTGTTAATTTTCCGGACTTGACTGCGTCCTGAATGATAAATTGACTGCTTAATACGCGGTCCGATTTTTCCTGTAGGTTCTTGTAAACATATGAAAACCGGCCCAATTAATTTTCCAACCATACTAATAATTGGCATAATTGTGTATGAATGAGTAGCAGCATTCATTGATTTGACGTGGCCTTTAATTATTTTTTCACCGGTTGTTGCTAGCGTCCGTGTTGGTGGATTGTCATAGCTAATATATTAGAAATTATTTTCTATTTATAAATAACTTACTTAAAACTGCTTTGATCGCTGTTCAATATATGATCTTCGGCATAATCTGGAATAGTATTTTTTACTGTTTTGACAAAACGCTCGGCGGATTTTAATATTTCACTGCAGTCTTCCAAATGATTTTTGATTATCAGTTTTGTGACTTTTCTTGATGAAATGTGATGCCGACGTTTGAAGTTTAATAGCTAGTGAGAAGATGTCATAAAACCAACCAGATTTAAATGACGTGCTTTTCTGATGTCCCAGCGCCTTAAATAAGAGTCGTGTATTGGTAAACAGCATCCTCGAGCACGAATAAATTCCGTATAAACAAAATTATCGTCGCGTTGGAGTTTCTGTGTTTTCGCACCTTGGGCATTAACATATTGCTTTATTCGACGCAGTTGTTCCTTATATTTTATTTGTCTATATCGTCTGCATAATGTAGGAAAGGTGTGTGTTTTTGAAAACTCGACAATGGCACACGTTGTATCATAAGAATATTTTATGCCATCAACATTCAATGCAACTGCATTCTCATCTTCTTCCTGGTAATCAGCACTACAATCGTCATATTCATTAAAATCCAATATTACAATATGGTCGACTAGTAATTCTGTTGAAGGTAGCAGTTGGTTAAACAACAAATACAGTTGATC